AGTCTCCGGAGAAGGGCGGCATATAAATCAAATTAAAAAAAGACTCGGATTTATAACAATCGAAGCATTCCGGGATGCCATTTTTGCGATGTTTCGGGGGGGGGGGGGAGAGATCCGCTTAACAACCATGTTCCAGGTAGTCCTTGAGTTACAGTAATCGTTTCAAATTAGAACAGCTGGAAAAAAATTGACTCAGCGCCATTGTTCACACTAAGCTCCAAGGGAATCAAAATGCAGACACTTGGCAAAGGTCTCGTATTTATGACGGTTGCAGCGCACGGGGTCATGTGATCCCCCTTTTGCGACCTTCTGACCCAGAACATCGATGGGGAAGGCAGATTCATTTAACGACCGTGTTGCTAAACCACTGGTGCGATTCACTAAACCACTGTGGGAAAGTTATACAATGGGACAAGATTCACTGAACCACCGTCTGGCTTAGTGACAAAAATTTTAGGCTCCACGTTAAGTTTCTAGCTTGGATAACTTAGTGATGGGCGCACGCTGATGTGGAAATCTGAAATACAGAAAGTCCTTGACTTACGACCCCACATTTCGGTTGTTAAGTGAGACATTTCGCGAGTTCTGCCCCATTTTACGAGTTTTCTTGCCACCGTTGTGAAGTGAATCACTGCAGTTAAGTTAGTCACCCAGTCGTTAAGTGAATCCGGCTTCCCCATTGGAAGGTCGCAACAGGAATTTTGCACTCCATTGTGGTTGTAAGTTGAGGACTAGCTGGGTTCCTTTTAGGATCATGGCTTGTCAAAAGGCTGGATAAGATTTGGACAAATCAAAAGCAGCCCAAGGGTGCCTCTGGGAATAGGCATATCAATGAACGACTTACAAGTTGAAAATATGTTCAGAAACTATTGTCACGAGATTAGTTAGTTTCTCTGCCAAGTATAAATGACAACCCAATTTTAAACCGACATTCTTGGTTTACCCAAACCTTGTTATAATTCCGAAGTGATTACTGAAGTCTTTAGGTCAGTGTTTCTCAATCTTGGTAGCTTGAAGATGGGTGGACTTCAACTCCCAGAATTCCTGTCAAACATGGCTGGATGAGGAATTCTGGGAGTTGAAGTCCACGAATCTTTAAATAAATCTTTAAATCTTTATTATTTACTGTTTATAAAAAAAAAAATTTATATGTATATGAAATCTTAATCTGTTCACCGCCCTGAGTCCTTCGGGAGAAGGGCGGTATAGAAATTAATTAATTAATTAATTAATTAATTAATTAATTAAATAAGCCATGGATGGCTTTGGAATTCTGAGAGTTGAAGTCCATAAATTTTAAAAGTTGTCATGGCTGGCTGAGGAATTCTGGGAGTTGAAGTCCATCAATCTCATGGGGAAGCAATGGGGAGGGGGGCTTAACTCAATCCAGAGCTAGTGGGAAGTACAAAACCGAATGAAATAACACAATACAAATAGTCCTTGACTTATAGTGACCGTTTTGCTTAGTAACCATTCTAAATTGCAATGGCACTGAAAAAAAATGTGACATATGACCGTTTTTCACACTTACGACCTTTGTAGCACCCCGCTGGTCAGTGGTCCAAATTCAGATGCTTGGCAATTGGTTCAATGTACAACGGTCGTATCATCCTGAGGTCACGTGATCCCCTTTTTGACAAAAGCAGGAAACCAGATTCGTTTAATGACTGTGGAACTCTTTTAATGACAGCAGGGATTCACTGAACGCCAGCAGCCAGAATAGTGGCCAAATGGGGCAAAACTCATTGAACCAATGTCTCGTTTAACAACGCAAAGCTTGGGCCTCGCCTGCGGTCGTAAGAGACCTGCATTCACTCCGCAACCAGGTTACTAACTTAATAATGGCCATGATTGACTTATCAATGGCAGCCAATGGGACAAAACTCCCTGAAGAAATGTCTCATTTAACAACAGCGCCCCCCCCCCCCCCGGGGCTCCGTCGTGGTCGTTAAGCCAAGGACCAGTTGCCATTCTCACACATGTGAAAATCGCGCAATCTTTTGCAAACTTTTCAAGAAAGCCGAACCTCTTTTTTTTTTTCGGAGCAGTAAAAATGAAGAGAAATTTTAAAATATCTCGAGTGGGTAGGTGGGTGGGCTAGAAGCCCCTTCCTCAGCTCTGGGGTTCAAATCTACCCCAGAAACCTTCGGCCACCACCCGCTCTCCCGTTTTAATTCTTCGGCCGTAACAACTGGTGTTGCTAAATCCGGATCTGTCCCAGCGATATAAATAGTCAGTGATTTAAATTCACCACGTCACCGGGCAGGAAGGAAGGAAGGAGAGGAAAGGAGGGGTGAGGGGGGGGTTTCCAACCAAGCCCCCACCCCAAATCGAAGCCAGATATCCTTGTGCGGGTTTGTGTGGGAATCACAAGTTGTGTGAAGGAGCATCGTTTTGGATGGGGAAGTCTTTTTTGGGGGAGGGGCGGGGAAGCTACGATTGGCGTTTGGGCAGAGCGACGGGGGTCCTTGGGGAGGGCCTGCAGCTGCGCCAGACAGATGTTTGTGCTGATTTATTCTTTAAAAAATTAGTTATTAAATTTCCTGCAGGTCCATCCGGCCGCAAAGCTACTCAGGACAGCTGACACCGTTAAAAATGAAACCCAGAACACATAAACTAATATCTCTATCTATCTATCTCTCTCTCTCTCTATCTATCTATCTATCTATCCATCTCTCTCTGTCAATTCATATCTATCTCTATTAATATCATCATTCTCTATCCATATCCATCCATCCATATCTCTACCCATCTCTTTCTCTCTCTCCATCCATCCCTATTTCTCCACCCAGATCTTTATCTATTTATCTATTTTATTGTCTACCTATATATCTATATATATATATATATCCATCCCAATTTCTCCATCCATCTCTACTTACCTACCTCTAATCTATCTCTAATGTATCATCTATCTATCCATCTATTTGTCCATCTATCTCTCTACATATCCGTCTCTATTCATTCCTCCCTTTTTCTCCATCCATATATTATCCATCAATCATTTTTCTCTCTCTCTCAATCTATCATCTATATCTATCTTTCCATCCATCCATCATCTTTATCATCTGTCAATCGTTTGTATCTATCTCTAATTGTCTATATCTCTGTATATATATATATCTATTCATATCTATCTATAACTATCTAACTACCTACCTATCTTTCTATCTATCCATACATACTTAATCAATTGATTGATTTATTATACATCTATACCACCCATCTCTCCTACAATGGCCTAGGTAGCTTCCACCATTAAAAGGAAAGTGTGTATGTGTGTGTATAAATACAGATATAATTATGTTTATTCAATGTTGTTCATATATTAAATGTCTGTACCGCCCATCTCTCTTAAACATGACTCTGGGCGGCTTCCACTATTAAAATGAAATCCTACATAGGTACATTTTTCAATATATGGATAGAAATAATGTATTTATTCAAATTATTCATTTGTTCAACATCTGTACCACTCACCTCCCTTACAAGATGACTCTGGGCGGCTTCCACGATTAAAACGAATCCCTAAGCATACATATTTTTAAATATACAGTAGCTATCAATACTATATTTATTCAATTTATTCATTTGCTAAATATCCATCCCGCCCATCTCCCTTGCCACATGACACTGGATAGCTTGCACCATTAAAATATATAGCTGTCAATACTATATTTATACAATTTATATATATTTTTTAATATACGTACCACCCATCTCTCTTATGACTCCAGGAGGCTTCCACCATTTAAACCAAAACTTAAGTTTATATACATATTTAAATATGTATCTAGAAATAATATATATATATTCAATTTATTCATTTGTTTCAACCTCTATACAGCCCATCTCCCTGACAGGATGACTCTGGGCGGCTTCCACCATTAAAACCAAACCCTAAATGTATATATTTTTCAATATACATATACACATACGTACATATTCAGACATACATGGGGACCCCTTGACAGCTGTATGCAATGTAATTTCATTTTAATGTATGCCAATTAGTGTACATTCAAAGTGACAATAAAGTTCTCATTCCATTCCTTTCCAATTTCTCTATTCAGTTCTGGTCTCTTATTTGTATTCTATTCTATATCTATAATACATACATACATCTATACATCTAATATACATATATCTATACACACACAGAAACACATATATATGAATAATATATTTATTCAATGTATTACGTTTCTCTGCTGACAGGCCTCTGCTCCCTTCTCCTCCTCATGCCAAGCCCCATCAACCCTGAGGATCAGGATGATGGGTGTTCCACCCCCACCCCCGATGATGTTGCAACTTTCCTACTCCTCCAATGCTCTCACCCTCCTCCTCTCTCCTTCCCCCCCCACCACCACCACGCCTGGCATCAGCCCCTTGCTTGCTTGCTTGCAAAAAAAAAAAAAAAATACTTATTCTTCCAAGCATCCAGGACAAGACCCCCCCCTCCCCACCGTCCCCAAATTTTCTTGGCTAAGCCCTACCTCCCCCCCCCTTTTTTTTTTTGCAAAAAAAAAAAAAAAAAAACCGCTTCCCGGCTGGGAAAAAAAGTTTGCAATCAACTCCAAAAAAAAAGAGACAAGAAAAAAAAGCATTGCAAAAAAAATATATGATTTTTGCAACGATTTTCCTTTTTTTTTTGCAAATTGCAAAGAGGGAGGGGGGTGACAGAGAGGGGAGGGGCGCACCCCAAGGAGGAGAGGGAGGAGGGGAGGGGGGCCCCACCCCTCCCCACAAATGACCCCTCCCCAATTGCATTGCATTTGCAAAGAGGCTTCTGGAAAGATCCCGCCCCCCCCGTATGGAAATTCCCCCCCGGGACAACGCCCACCTCCCCCCCGCTTCCAACGCGGATTCCCCGCAGCGACCATGCAGGGGCGCCTCTGGACCGTCAAGGTGGCGCCCCGGGCGCCCAGGCAGGAGAAACCAGGGAGGGGGCGCCGCTCGAGGGGGCTTTGCGGGCCTTCGGGACCAGGGACCCGGCTTACCGAAGCTGGCAAGGAGGCGGCGGTCCGAGCAGGCGACGCAGCCGGCGGCGGCGAGCATCCAGCCCCAGATGCAGCCTCGCATATCACTCCAAAGGCCGGAGGCGCGCCCGGCGGGAGGGGGCCGCCCCGCCCAGGCCGTCGCAGGCGCAACCGAACATGCTGGCTGCGCAGCCTACCCCGCCGGCCAATGGCGGCCGAGAGTGAGTCTCGCGGGCCAATGGCGACGCGCGGGGGGGCGGGGGGGAAGGACGCGCGGCGCCAAATTGGGCAGCGAGCGGGATCCGGGGAACTCGCGCGCAGGGCGTGGGGCGGGGCTCCAAGCACGGGACATGGAAGGGGGGAAGGGGGCGGGGCTCAGGCTCGGAGATGACACGCCCCTTCTCTCTCTCTCTCTCTCTCTCTCTCTCTCTCTCTTCCTCCTTTCTATCTCTTTCTTTCTGTTTCTTTCCTGCCTCGTTCTTTTTTTTCTTTTTCTAATTTCCTTTCTTTTTTTCTCTTTCTCTCTTTCTGTCTCCTTTTCTTTCTTTCTGTTTTTTTCTTTCTGTCTCTCTTTTTCTCTATTTCTCTTTCTATTTTCTCCCTTTTTCTCTTTCTCTTTTTCTGTCTCCTTTTCTTTCTTTCTTTCTGTTTTTTTTCTTTCTGTCTCTCTTTTCTCTATTTCTCTTTCTATTTTCTCCCTTTTTCTCTTTCTTTCTATCTCCTTTTCTTTCTTTGTTTCTTTTCTTTCTGTGTCTCTTTCTCTATTTCTCTTTTATTTTCTCCCTTTTTTCTCTTTCTTTCTGTCTCCTTTTCTTTCTTTGTTTTTTTTCTTTCTGTGTCTCTTTTCTCTATTTCTCTTTCTATTTTCTCCCTTTTTTCTCTTTCTATCTTTCTGTCTCCTTTCTGTTTTTTTTCTTTCTGTCTCTCTTTTTCTCTATTTCTCTTTCTATTTTCTCCCTTTTTTCTCTTTCTTTCTATCTCCTTTTCTTTTTTCTTTGTTTTTTTTTTCTGTCTCTCTTTTTCTCTATTTCTCTTTCTATTTTCTCCCTTTTTCTCTTTCTTTCTGTCTCCTTTTCTTTCTTTGTTTTTTTTCTTTCTGTGTCTCTTTTTCTCTATTTCTCTTTCTATTTTCTCCCTTTTTTCTCTTTCTATCTTTCTGTCTCCTTTCTGTTTTTTTTCTTTCTGTCTCTCTTTTTCTCTATTTCTTTTCTATTTTCTCCTTTTTTCTCTTTCTTTCTATCTCCTTTTCTTTCTTTGTTTTTTTTCTTTCTGTCTCTCTTTTTCTCTATTTCTCTTTCTATTTTCTCCTTTTTTCTCTTCTCTGTCTCCTTTTCTTTCTTTCTGTTTTTTTTCTTTCTATCTCTTTTTCTCTATTTCTCTTCCTATTTTCTCCTTTTTTTCTCTTTCTATCTCCTTTTCTTTCTGTTTTTTTCTTTCTGTCTTCTTTCTTTTTCTCTTTTTCTCTATTTCTCTTTCTATTTTCTTTCTGTCTTTCTGTCACTATTTCTTTCTGTCTCTTTTCATTCTCATTCTATGTCTCTTTTACTTTCTTTTTTTTTCTTTTTCTCTCTCGGCATCCTTTCCCTTTCTTTTGGGTATTATTCTTTCTTTCTGTTTCTTTCCCTGTCTCTTCTCTTTCCTTTGTTCTTTCTTTCTGTCTTTTATTTTCTTTTTTTTCCTCTTTTTCTCTCTATGTCTCTTTCTGTCTGTCTCTTTTTTTCTATTTATTACTCTCTCTCTTTTCTTTCCTTCTTTCCTTCCTTCTTTCTTTCTGTTTTCCTTTATTTTCTCTCAATTAACAACCGTCATAGCAACATGAATGTTGGTCTCAATTCTGGTCATTTAAGTCGAGGACTACCTGTCTATGCAATGTTTGTGTGTAGGGAGCATCAAGACAATACTGAGTGGAGGGCTGTCAGAGTGCATACAGCGCGACTATTTTGAGATAACCCAAAAGCAAAATACAATAAACAGAGGTTTGTCTTTCAAATAGTGGTTTATCTACAAGGAATATATACATACATCTACTAGGCAAAGTCAGGCAATCAATCATCAACTACAGCACAGAAGCACACACAGGGGGGAGAGAGAGATACGCCCAACATAAGGGCCTCTCTTATGTTACAGCCTCTTAAAGCAGTAGCAGTCAAATAACTATGCTGACTCATTGCTACCATTGCATCATCGTTACAGTATTACAAAATTACAGCAGCTGTTCAGTTATTAAATAATCATTACCCTGACAAGGGCCGACTGCCAGCCCCACAAGTAGAAGAGGGATTTGCTGAGGAGTATGGGTCATTGAGCAGGGGGTTGGACTAGATGACCTCTAAGGTCCCTTCCAACTATTATTCTATCATTCTCAAAAGGTCTCCTGTTTGATCAGGGGGTTGGGCCAGATGACCTCCGAGCTCCCTTCCAGCTCTGTCATTCCATGATTCTATTTTGTTGTGATTCACGTTGCAGGGTGTGTTTGCCATCGCGCAATTCCTTGTTTGTTTTCGATGCTATGTTTGTGCCATCCAGAGTCACCCAGCTGGAGTGTGTCGGCCTTGGGGCTTTTGTTAATAAATAAAGAAAAATCAGGCGCACCAGAACCAAACTGGGTGAGTCCTTGGCTGGCTTCTAGCTGGGGGATTATAAAGATTTATTCTTCCTTTAAGGCTGTTCCGCTTCATACACAGAGTAAAAGTAGCAGAAATGTGTCAGTATTGCCGGGTTGCATCCAAAACCACAAGGGTATTTATTCTGGGGTGTTGTATCACAACCACAGCAAGTTCAAGACAGGTGGACTTCAACTCCCACAATCCCCCATACGGCATGCATAAGAGGGAGGGACTTCCACTCCCACAATTCCTCAGCCAGCATGCTTTAAGGGTGGACTTGCATTCCCAGAATCCCCCAGTCAGTATGCTGTAAGAGGGGAGGACTACCACTCCCTTAATCCCCCAGCCACCTGGCTTTGAGCGGGGAAGACTTCAACACCCATAATCCCCCAGCCAGCATGCTTTAAGGGTGGACTTCCATTCCCAGAATCCCCCAGTCAGCATGCTTTGAGAGGGGAGGACTTCCACTCCCATAATCCCCCAGCCAGCGTGCTTTAAGAGAGGTGGACTTCCACTCCCATAATCCCCCAGCCAGCGTGCTTTAAGAGAGGTGGACTTCCACTCCCATAATCCCCCAGCCAGCGTGCTTTAAGAGAGGTGGACTTCAACTCCCAGAATCCCCCAGCCAGCGTGCTTTAAGAGAGGTGGACTTCCACTCCCATAATCCCCCAGCCAGCGTGCTTTAAGAGGGATAGACTTCCACTCCCATAATCCCCCAGCCAGCGTGCTTTAAGAGGGATGGACTTCCACTCCCATAATCCCCCAGCCAGCGTGCTTTAAGAGGGATGGACTTCAACTCCCAGAATCCCCCAGTCAGCATGCTTTGAGAGAGGTGGACTTCCACTCCCATAATCCCCCAGCCAGCGTGCTTTAAGAGGGATGGACTTCAACTCCAGAATCCCCCAGCCAGCGTGCTTTAAGAGAGGTGGACTTCCACTCCCATAATCCCCCAGCCAGCGTGCTTTAAGAGGGATGGACTTCCACTCCCATAATCCCCCAGCCAGCGTGCTTTAAGAGGGATGGACTTCAACTCCGAGAATCCCCCAGTCAGCATGCTTTGAGAGGGGAGGACTACCACTCCCTTAATCCCCCAGCCACCTGGCTTTGAGAGGGGAGGATAGATGGATAGCAAAAGTCTTTTCATCCCTGTAGTCCAGCAGCTTCTTGTCTGCTGCCAGAATCCACCTCACTTTAGCAGCTGTCGCTTCCCGAACTCGATACCGTGACTCAGCTCTCCGTGGCTTCCATGGCCAAGCGGGCAAAGGCCGTGCCAAGATCCCGTGGCAGACCTGACCCGACCTCCCTCCTGTCCCGTTTGGGAAGCTGGCTCAATGCACAGTGAAAATCTGGAGAAATCCAAATTTCTCCCCCTTTCCAAAAGGTGAGGATCCTTACGATTTGCAAAGAGGAGGAAAAACCTGGAGTAAATCCGGAGTCCTAAGGGATCTTGGGTGGAGATTTGGGGTGAAGCAGGAGGAGGAATTGAGGGAGGGTGGTTTTGAACCCAGGTTTCAGTTTGAATGAAGCTGGGCGAAAGGGGAAATAAAAGGGCTAGAAAAACAGGTTATAGTCCTCCCACCCTCCTACGCAGCCAAAAGTTAATAGACAAACACGTCGGTGAGGAAATATAATCTCTTAATAGTGTTGGCAACTTTAAAGCAGGTGGACTTCAACTCCCAGAATCCCCCAACCAGCAAGAAGTCCATCCCTTTTAAAGCAGGCTGGCTGGGGGATTCTGGGAGTTGAAGTCCTTCCTCTCTTAAATTCACCAAGTTGGATAAATCCTGGTCTAGAAAATTTTAAACCCGTGAAGAAGTGGGAAATACTTGGGATCGATTTAGCTTCCTCCCACAGCTGTCGATTTCAAAGTTCTACAAAGCCCTTTGCTATTTTTGCTGCCATAATCTAGCGACCTGTACTCGTAAAAGGTTAAGAAGGGCTTAAAAGATCTCCAGGATTTAGGATGAAACCATTTTAGTGAGTAAATTGTGAGTGGAGATTAATTGTCCATACAATTTTGGAAACCTGGTTTGTTAACTCCGTTGAGATTCCTTGGAGACATGTTCTGGCAACTTTCTGAGGATATCGGTTAGGAATTTATCCTAGGTTAGGAGGATCTTCTTAGGATGCTCCTAAATCCAGCAGATTAAAAAGATTGTGGTTGGCAATATGAGCAGGGGGTTGGACTGGATGACCTCTGAGGTCCCTTCCAGCTCTATGCTTCTATTCTGTTCTATTTCTATCCTTGTATGTTCTGTTCTGTTCCCTATTCTATTTTCTATTTTATACAGTTCTGTTTTCTATTTTGTCCTGTTTTCTATTACGTTCTCTATTCTATTGTAATTTATTTTCTATTCGTTTTCTTTTCTTTTCTACTCTATATTCTATTCTACATTATTAAATTCTCTATTATTCTGTTCTATTCTAGACTATTCTCTATTCTCCAATTTTCAGTTACATTCTGTTCAGTTTTATTCACTTTTCTGTTCTGTTCTGTGTTCTATATTCTATATTTCTTTATTCTCTGTTCTATTCCATTCAATTCCATTCCATT